TTATTTAATATGATTTCTTACAAATTATTTATTATTCTTCTTTAACGAAGCCGATACCAGTGGACTGGTGAATGGAGTCATTGGTGGTGAACCAGAGAGAATTGGGAAATTGCTTCAACGTTTTTTGACTAAAATCTCTGGATAATACCTATGCTTGAATTGCATGCAGATCCCCAAAGTTGAATACTGTAGGTCCAAATCGGTTGATGACTGCCTTATACACGAAGAGTTTGTTCTCAGTTGAGACTCCCAAATATCTGCCCATAAGCCAATGCAATTTTTTAGCCTTTTTGTATAAACAAGTACCGAGACCCTGGATCGATACACTTTAATAATATAAAAAAAGGGGGCCAGGCGTAAACAATCCCATCGATACGATTAGAATGGGAATACCTCTTTGAATACTCCGAATTCAAGTACTTTTATAATCTTCCCACGTAGAATCATAATTGATACTATTTTGAACATAAACAAATGTAAAGGATTTGACCCGGGTGCATAACAAACAAAACTATATAATCATTAGAATTAACCTTGTAAGTAGAATATTTGTTTCGACTTAGACTGAGGAGAATCTTAAACGATGAACATAGTCTCAATAAGAATGTTAAGTGAAGAAAAATCGACCCAGTAACGAATTATGTAAAACCACATGAATTTCATTAAATTACCACAGCCTCCACAAGCCAAAATTATGTATCCAGAATTTCATCCGTGGGACGAAACAACTGCGATTATCTATAATTATAAAGCTTTTGATTTTAAAATGCGAGTTTTTCGCACTTTAAATTACTTGAGTTGAAATGAGAAATTACCAGATTAGATTTAAATCGTCGTAATCAAATTTATGCAGCCTCTTGATGTGGATTTTCTGCTTTGGATACTTAAAAATGCAACAGACTAAATACTTGTCGCGTAACCTTCACAACCTCCGACACAAATCAAAATGGGCCGCGCAAAAAATGTAGAGGATTTTTTTTTTATAATAGTTTTTTTTCGAGAATAATATTGTTTCTAGTTCACCTAAAAAAATGTTGTATATTTTAAGATTTGCAGAAAAAAAAAAATAGTTGAAAAACATGGCAGAAAACAACGAATGTTTTTAATTGAATTATACAAATTAGAAAAACTAGTTTTTTGTCAAATGTATGAGGAACTTGCTTCCCAATTGCAGCATTCGTTTTTGTATGATTTTATTTTTTTAATTAAACCTAAATTGAAGATACAAGGGATTGAAACGCTTCAATCTTCTTGTTGTTACGCCTAAGGATTTATCAAGAACAAAATGTAACTACATATTAATCTCCAAGTGATTGAAACCCTTCAATTTTCTTGTTGTCACGCATTTGTCCAGAAGATTGACCACCAACAAACTAATGTAATATTGTAAATAAAAGGTTTAATAAACTAAAAAAAATAAGGATTTGTTAAGAATAAAATGTAATCTCCAATTACAAATGAATGTAATAGAACAATGCACAATTTATCATTATTAAACTAACACTATTGTCCTGTACAGCTTACTATAATCTCTTAAGAATAGAAATTATTTCCAAAAGAAATATGTAAGTAATAAATAAATATTTAAACTTTTTTTAAACAGGAATCAGCTACTATAAAACGACTTTCCGAACTTCAGGAAATTACAGATCCACAATGAAGTTCTTCGCACTTTTCGCCATTTTCTTCGCAGTTATCGCCGCTATCAGCGCCAAGTCCTTTGAGGCTAACGATCAAATGATCGAATGCTGCTACGAAATCAAGCATGGATTAAAGACATGCAAAGAGGTGACTTGCTCCGAAAAGGAAGTGCTCGTAAAGGCTGATTTACTAAAATGTTGGTGCTGCGATAGGTGCGAGTATAGAGCACCAGAGTAAAGGTAAGTTGCAAGATAAATAAATATAACGTTTTTATTTAATTATCTTTTACTTTTAGGTGATTCTTACTTCACGCCATAAAAACGGATATTAGCAACAATGAATAACCAAGTACACCAAATTCTTAATAACAATTAAATTTTCTGATTCAAAATTAATAGTTTATTATATTTCATTAAATAAATAATCATTAATTAAAAAAATATGTTTAAATTTAATCCCAGGTCCTAACAGCAAAAATCAATGAAAAAGTACATTTGTGTATATCGTGTTTGAATTCTAGAATTTTATGCTAAACTAGATGCTTGTAAATTCGAGATCAGTAATGGGTATCCAAATTTACCGTGATTTTTGTTTACCGCTAAACATATTTTTTACAAACCGGTAATTTGTTTTAATTGAATATGTTGTATGTACATTACCCGATATAACACTTTTTTAATTTGTAGATCCAGTTCTTTCTGTAAATTAAAATATGCAAAATATCTGTAGTTAAATCGTATCGAAATCACTCAGACTTGTTCGAATTTTCGTACAAATAACTGCTTCAAAAAAGCTCTTTCTGTAATCATATCGCCAGGTAAAACCAATTAACCGTTTAACGATAATGAAGTCCTACATTTGTATACTAGCTCAACAATTATAGTTTAACAAAATAGAACGTTCATAAATAATACACCATTTCACTATCAGTATTATTGTTGTTTTTACTGATTTTTTTCTTCACACTAAAGCATATTTACTGTAGCGCAAAAATCAGTGGCGGATTAATCACTTGAGATGTCCGAGGCGCAATTTAACTGTAAGTTCAGTTCAAATATTATTTCATTAAAAAATATGAAAACGCCGAGGCTTCCTTGATTTAATTGATTTATTGCCTCTCTAAACATAATCGCAATCTTATATATTCCATAAAAGTTTCAATTTAAATAGGTTTATTATAAATAAACTATCTATAAGAGACATCTATGAAGTCTCTTACTCGATACGCCTTTATGTATAAGCAAATATATAAGTACAATGAAACCTCCAGCGAGACCCCTAATCGATACTATCGATAATATAAATAAAGGGGGCTAGGAGTAAACAATTCAATCGATACGTAAGAATGCGGATACCTACTCGAATACCAAAGTACTAAAATGTACTGTTGTGTCCAACCATTATTATTGTAATTGTTATTATTAATATAGTGTATTAACGAACTAGAGACATCCAATGCGTCTCTTAGTCGCATTATTATATAAACATAAACATTAGCATAAATGAATCTCTACCGTGATTCCAGTTCGATACGCTTTAATATAAACAAAGGGGACCAAGCGTAAACATTCCCATGGATACTCCTATACCTTTACTCCGAATTCAAGTCCTTATTATAAACACATAATGATCGTTACATGTACAATCGTAATTGATCATCTTTTTCATATAAACAAATGCATAGGAATTTGTCCCGGTCTTATAATAAACAAAACCACCGAGGCCGATTCCCGTGGGAACGCTTAATCATCAATATATACAAACCCTACACGATCACAACTCCCATCCCGTATTAATAAGAATTAACTTTGTAATTAGAATAAGTATTTAGAATCAGTCTCAGTAAAAAGTTAATATAACGAGCATAGTCGCATAAAACCTAAGACAAGCATAGTCTTAGTCAACCTATCGATTAAACTACATTCTCTTGGAAAGGGACCCCAAGAGTACCAATTATAATAAACTTGTTTTAAATCAATTGAATTATTTAATTCCCAACTACTGAGACTCCACAACGACAACACCAGACAATATTCCACTTTGTCCAGAATTCTATCCCTGGGACACGACAGTACATTTAGCCCAAACCTAGAAAATACAATAAAAAATTAAAAAAATATTTCAAAAAATCTATTGACTTTTCAGAGATGAAACATAATAAATAACAATGATGGTACTCAACAAATTTATAATAACAAGGAAAATAACAGAGAAATAATATACAGTAAAATTTATAAAATTCCTGGATCTGAGCACAAGAGAAGGCAGAACGATCATACGAGTACAGTTCTTCATTTCAGTGCTCCGCAACCGGTGTGCCGATACAGGTGTGATACGGTCAAATAAGACAATATTCTAACAATATTTTTTCGAGCAATCGATGATTTTTTTCAAAATATATAATATTCAAGGGGGTAATTGCATTGCTGTTTGCACGGATGGCGCTGCGGCAATGACGGGTAGTAAACAAGGTTTTGTCTCTTGTGTAAAACAAAAAAATCCGATAATACAATTTATACACTGCTACATACATCCAGAAGCATTGATGGTCAAGAATTTGCCAGAGGAACTTTTGAACACGATGAATGAATGCATTAAAATCATAAACATAATTAAATCGAGAGCATAAAATTCGCGAATGTTTGGAATACTTACTAATGGGAGCCGAATATGAATCTTTATTGTTTTATACTGAATCCCACTGAATCCCTCTACACAAAAAAAAAATTGTTAAAAATGAATATCCTCGCGTTTCTGCAGTGACAACGCCATCCTAACACTACTTCCATTTTCAACGACATATTCATGTGAGCAAAGTTTTTCAACTCTTGTAATAATTAAAAATTATAGGCGGTCATGCTTGAAAGGTCTTGACCAAAAACTTCGGATATTGCTGTCAAATATCAAGCCGAATATAAAACTTTTATGTTGACATTAAGAACTTGAATCCCAATTGCAGCATTCGTTTTTATATGATTTTATTTTTTAATCAAATCTAAAGTGAAGGTTCAAGGGATTCAAACGCTTCAATCTTCTTGTTGTCACGCCGTTGCCCAGAAGGCTGACAGCCAGCAAATTACATTATTATCGTAAAAAGATTTACTAAACTAAAAAAAAATAAGGATTTGTCAAGAATAAAATCTAATCTCCAATTACAAATTAATGTAATAAAACAATGCACAATTTATCATTATTAAACTAACACTATTGTCCTGTACAGCTTACTATAATCTGTTAACAATAGAAATTATTTCGAAAAGAAATATGTAAGTAATTAACAAATATTTAAACTTTTTTTAAACAGGAGTCAGCTTGTATAAAACGACTTTCCGAACTTCAGGAAATTACAGATCCACAATGAAGTTCTTCGCACTTTTCGCCATTTTCTTCGCAGTTATCGCCGCTATCAGCGCCAAGTCCTTTGAGGCTAAAGATCAAATGATCGAATGCTGCTACGAAATCAAGCATGGATTAAAGACATGCAAAGAGGTGACTTGCTCCGAAAAGGAAGTGCTCGTAAAGGCTGATTTACTAAAATGTTGGTGTTGCGATAGGTGCGAGTATAGAGCACCAGAGTAAAGGTAAGTTACAATTGAGATAGCAAAAATGTTTTTATTTAATTAAATGATATTTTTAGGTAATTCTGGCGCCATGTAAAAAGGATTGTTTATAATCAATGAATAACGAAATACACCAAATTCTTAATAACTGTAAAGTTTATCGTTTCAAAATTAATTGTTTATTTTATTTTGTTAAATAAAGAATCACTAAATAAAAAAAAACATATTTCTAAAATCATCCCAGTTCCTAATAGCATAAATCAATGAAAAAAGGAACTATTTCATTATTATTATTTTTGTTGTTTGTACTTACTTTGCTTATTCGCACTCAAGTATATTTAATGTAACGCATTCAACTGTTTTATTGCCATTGTTATAGGTCCCATAAAATAAATAAGTATACGAAGTTGTCCGCGACCCCCTTTTGCACTTAAAAAAAAGAAAGAAATCTGTATAGTATACATACAATAATACATAAAACGTTATTCAGTCCTAGAAATAATATGTGTATATAAAATAATAGAACAAAAATTGATAATTGTTACACTAAATATTAAAAAAATATAAAAAAAAACTGTCAATAGACAGTTGGTGGAAAAAACTAACAACTTTTGTAAATTGAAATATAAAATTGTTTTCAAAATATTATTAGTTTATATAATATTTTAATTAAGGAGTAATAAAATACATAAATATATATAGTCGCGGTCCAGTCCTTTGTGATTCCGCCTCTACAAGAATACTCCGAATTGAAACACTTTTATAAACATACAAGAAACTTCCAAGAATACGTATAAAGAGATCTTATAGATTCGAACCAGGCAGTAGTAAACAGAACCATTCAAGCATTTCGGTGCAACTGCTTAATAATCATTTTATTTCAATTGTGGTTAATACATTTAAGAGCAAAAATTAAAATGTATGATTTTTTATTTATTAATTTATAAAAGAAATAATAAGTATTAATCAATAATAGAAACCTCTATATAAATATAATATAAATAAGTTATATTTTGCTCATGGATATTGGACGGAGGTTTCTATTGTCACAAGGCGATAATTATTTTATTTTTCATGTCATTATGGTTGATTGACATTTTAGTACTTACCATACGCGTTAGAAGGTATTTACTATTTATTTTAAAAGAACTTATGTTATTGTTTAAATTATTAATCATTTTATAGGTATTTTGCGATCATTTTTTAAATAGAAAAGTCTATCAACTTATCCACTCCTTATATTGTTTATTATTTACGTGTACTCTTGTTAGTTATTTACTTAACGTTTGAATTTTTTATATTTGTTCTAGATGGTTCAAAACGGGGGGTTATCTTTCTAAAAAAACAGCCTTATCAGTTATTATAATAAATAAATTGATTATTAAGCATTTGCACAGAAATGCTTAAATGGTTCTGTTTACTACTTGCCTGATTCAAACCTATTAGATATTAAAAATTAAACTAAGCGTATTCTTGAAAGTTTCTTATATGTTTATAAGAGTGTTTCAATTCTGAGTATTTAACGTTCCAGAATTTTAGGATCTTTACTTGCATAGCGAAATACTCATAAACAATTTTGCCCATATAAACTAATAAAATACTATAATGCGTTTCATGTCGGAAAAAAAGTATAACTTGGCCTCGTTTTTTAATGATTTCATTTTGCATATGTATGGTCATTTTTATTCTTTGACTTTTTATTTGGATACATGCAACTGTTATTAAATTTTGCATAAAAAATAATCACATATATTGTGTCCGAACACAAGTTTGGAAAAATATGTGATCATAAATGACAATAAGTTGCAAAATCCATCTGACTCCATTTGTTTATTTTACATATATCGATCCGGGGACTTTGTGGAGGTGTACCTTTACTCCGCTATAAATAAAAATAACGAAAAAAAAAAAATACAGGTTTTGCAAATGTTGTAACAGGTGGACAATCCAGGACTTCTACTCGTCACTCGTTAAGCGAGTCATTTTTGTTACAATTTATTTTGCTTGTTAAGCGAAATACTCGATAAGCGAGGTTCCACTGTATTCTTGCTGTAGCGGAATCACAAAGTGTCGGACCCCGCTACGCGAGTTGAAAGAAATCCACAAAATAAAAACAAATAAGAACACCCAAATTCAAATTTGCTTATGGAATCTCAAATTAAACTGCTTAAAAATATTCTTTCTGTTAGTAATAATAAACTGATAATTTTTTGAAAACAATTTTATATTACAATTTACAAAATATTAGTTATTCTAAATTGCTATTTATTAAACAAATAGTAAATTAAATACTTTTATGCTTATTTTAATTTCTTTGCCACCGATGTGTTGTTGTATCCAATCATTATTATTATAATTGTTATTATTAGTAGAGTATATAAAGTAACTATGTATAAGAGACAACCACGAAGTCTTCTAGTCGTGACCCGTTCGATACACTTTAGTATAAACAAAGGGACCAAGCGTAAACATCCCATCGATACTTCCTATACATTTTAGTACTCGAATTAGTCTTATTCATAAACACATAAAGATCGTTACATGTACAATCGTAATCATCATCTTTTTCATATAAACAAATGCATAGGAATTTCTTTATAAACCCGATCACTCCACCCTTATGTAGATCTTTATAGAATAATAAACATCAATATAAACAAACCGTACTCCCGATCACAACTCCCACCCCGTATCAATAAGAATTAACTTTGTAAGTAATATAAGTATTTTAGAATTAGTCTCAGTAAGTTACTACCGTCCAACTCCCCCTATAATAGAATATGCAAGTCTCAGTAAAACTTAAGTGATATGTCTCATACCTTTGAGCATAGTCTCAAGAACCTTGGAAGACTGCACTATTCTCAGATAAAACCTCTAAGATGACATGTCAGTAACCTCAAAGTCTGACAGTCTAGTAAAACCTAAAGACTGAGCATAGTCTTCAGTAAACGTTTATATAAGATATCTACAATAATAACGTTTAATCAGCAGCATAGTTCATAAAAACCTAAGACGAGCATAGTCTCAGATGAAGATCAATATGATAAAGTTCATGTAAACAAACGAATTTCATAGACTAAGATAGTCTCNATNNAAACCAAGAGATTAATATCTCTAAAGAACTAAGCANAGANNCAAGAAGACGAATAAAGTTATGTAAAACCAATTGAATTATTTAATTCCACTAACTGAGACTCCACAACGACAACACCAGACAATATTCCACTGTGTCCAGATCATCTGACACCAATCTCTNTGTAAATACTGTTTTCTTCGCGCTATCAGTTCAGACCATCCATGACACGAAAGACAACGTAGACTCGTTATTAACAGCATCTACGAAACCATAGGACGAATCAAGCCAATTCTCGGATCTTTCAAAATCATTCGCGGCAGAGGGTAAACCAACTCCTGAAGTTATCACGCACTAAATCGCTGGCGATTGGAAGATGTAAAAACTTATGTAAGTGGAATTTTTATTTCTGATTGTTTTAGTTGTGCAAATGGCCGAATTTTTATTAGATAAAAACAGTTTTCTGTAGAAATTACGAGAAATCATAAAATCAAAAACTTTTTTTTGGCCAGAAAAAAAAATAAAAATAAAATTCAATTAAAATGGAAACTCAAAATATTAAATTTTTCTTGCAAAAACTTGCATTAGAGAAAATATTAAATCATCAATATAATGGAAATTTTGAAACGATAGACACATTTATAGAAGATTGTGAAAGATATTTATATAATCAATTTTAAACATAGAAGAACAGCTTATTTTAAGTATTTGTTCAAGTTTAAGAGAGGATGCAGAAATATTAGTTAGAGGAAAAAATTATAAAACTTGGAATGAATTAAAACTTCATTATTAAATAAATTTGGACCAGTATTGATATTGCTCATTGGAGAATTAAATTATATTTGTGCCATCAGCAGANCAGTTATGATAATGACACAGATGAATCAGTTTATTCATATTTTTATAGAATCAATAAAATTTCAGAAAATATTAGAAATAGCATACATCATACTTTCAATTCAGATATAGCAGATAGAAACGACGAATTATTAAAATTGGAATTACCAGAATATTTTAAATTAGGTCTTATATCTGAAATTAGAGAATTCGTAACAGATAACAATTCAGAATCAATAGAAGATGCATTAGAATTTGCAAAAAATAAAGAAAATCAAATTAAAAAAGATCAATTATATTTAGAATCAAGAACTTTTGAGAATATGTTTAATCAATGTAACACTACTTATGATTATAAGTTTAATCAATGTAACTCTAATTGCAATCAGGAGGAATTAATTAATGTTAATGAAAATCAAAATTATTGTCAAGAAAATTTTAAAAATAACCATAAAAAAAATAAAAATGTAAAATGTTACATTTGTGGAAAAACTAATGACAAAACTAAAAGTTGTTATTTCAGATCAAATTATAAAAATGTATTGGGCAAAGATAAAGAAATACGTAATATAGATCAATTCAAATCAATTTTTCTAGATAGTGAAAAGAAAGAAACAAATTTAATGAAAGAAAAAAATCGCCAAAATGTAAATAAAGTCACTTATATTCAACAAGAACAATGTTGTCAAAATAAGAAAAGATTTAATATTTTTAACGTTCTTTGGGGTTGGAAAATTTTTTACATCCTGAATTTTCCTAGGGTCCGGTTTAATTCCATCGTTCGAAATAATGTGTCCTAAATAAACAACTTCTTTTCTTAAAATCTCGCACTTTTCTTTCTTTAGTTTTAAATTCGCTTCGCGTAATCTATCAAAAACTTCTATTAATCGTGCATTGTGCTCATCAAAACTTCTTCCATATATTACAATATCGTCAAAGTAAACGAAACATTTCAAACCCTGAAGTCCAATTAAAACAGAGTTCATTAATATTTGGAAAGTTGCAGGAGAAGTCTTCATTCCCATAACCATACGGTTATATTCGAAATGTTGATTACCTGTACTAAATGCTGTATTTTTTTCGAATCTTCTTCAATGGGGATTTGGTAAAAACCTTGGCTTAAGTCCAGTTTAGAAAAATATTTTGAATTACCGAGTTGGTCCAATATTTCTGTAATATTGGCAGCGGAAATGCATCACCAATAGTAACTTCGTTAATTTTCCTAAAATCCGTATCATTTCTTTACCAATCCGTTATTATCATGTTTAGGAACAACTAAAAGAGGGGATATTCCATTCACTTTTTGAATATC